TAGGTATAACTTAAGGTATAATCGTGATAAGATAAAATATGGTATAACTTATAACAGTAGGTATAACTTGTGATAAAAGCAGATATAACAATGATAAAACTAACCATGGTAATAATGTCGGTAATAACATATGGTATAACTGTAGGTATGACTTGTAATGGCGAGATAAGTGTAAATGTAACCGTGATAATATAAATATGGTAAGAGTAGTCATGATAACATAAGGTATAACGATAAGTATATCTTGTAATAACAGTAGGTATTAGGTATAACTTGTGATAAAGAGATAAGTGTAGGTATAACTGTGATAATATAACCTTGATAATGATAAGAGTAGCCATGGTAATAAACCATGATATCATAAGGTATAACGATAAGTTTAATTTGTCATAACGGGGATGTCGGAGATAACAGTTAATAATTCGGGCGGCCATGTAATAGGTATAGCGCCCCTTAATTTAGAACTCTCCTTTTCATTCTACTACTTGTATCATACATTCATATCCGATCAGTAGTAATATCCGTTTTGATTTCAACATTAATTCTTATCTTGTATACGACTATGATTACTATTTAATATAAGAAGTATAATTTAAAATTGTTTAGCTGCATTATACTTTAAAATTTACCTAGGGAGTGTGATCTCATTATTGCCCCTTAGCACGAGTTGCCACTGAATTTTCATTTTTGCGTAAACAATATGTTTTACGCCAGCTTTTTCAAATTCATAATTTTACAATAAATATTCTTAATAAAAACACAAGACCATTTCTAAATTTATTTGAATATTTTTGGTCAATTTATTTAAATTTTTTTCTTGTAATTTTCCTTACGTAACCGTAACTCTTAATAATTTGATTTTCATAGTATAACTATTTTATTATAAATTCATTTTTTTTTTATAAAATTGGTAATAGACAACCTTTTAAATACCTACGTTTTGTATCAACTCTCTTTAAATTAATTTTATAAGCTCTAAATAATTAATAAATACATAAAATTAATGTTGTTATACTCAACCTAACCATTTTTTAAATAGAAAAAAATTTAAATAATTCTCCTTATTATACTAACTGTAAAACAGAAACTAACACTTATTATAAATTTAACTTATTGACGGACATAACTGCTATAGCAGTAATATGTGAAATGTTATATTACGTCATTACGGCGGAAGCAGTAATCTTTTCATGGTATCAAATCAAGATAGATAGTAAACTGTCACATTACGTAGATTTTGGATGCAGGAATAGCACTACTAATATAACAGTAAAAAATATATTACAAGTGTTTGTCAATGTATTAAAATACAAAACTTATAGCTATAGTTATACTTACTTAATTTTTGATGTCTAATGTATTTACTGCAAGATAACACCAATATCTATTTAATTTTACTTCACAAAATTTACTCCCTAGGGAAAATTTAAATCACGATCGTACTTAGCATTTGTCATTTGAACGTCACAAAGCATTATCCCAATAATAATAAAACAATAGTTTCAAGAATAATAGGTTTTTTCTCGGCGTTTTTACTTCATACAATTACAAACAGCATTATATCCGGCCATAATATTTAAGATAAGACAGTTTAAGATAAGAATAGTCGTACAAATATTGTTTAGTATTATAAGAGCATGTGGGTTATAATTATATTTTTGTACAATCTAGGTAAAATTTGCCTGCTGCATTGGCGAACTTTTACCTTTTCCCCCAAGGTAAAAATTCTGTGAGGTAAAATTCGCCTGTTACCGTGGATGAAATTTTACCTCGTAAAATGTTACTCCCTTGAGGTCAAAATTCACCTGTGATAATTTTACATTACAAAATTTTGCCTCCCAGAGGTAAAAATACAAGAGGGTAAAATTTACCTGAACACCGGTTCATAATTTCGCTTAAGAGAAATGAAAAATATCTACTGGATAAACCATTTAAGTAGGTACACTCATTATCTTGGAATGTATTAACTTTTTCTGGAATTTGTTTTCTAGAACATTTAAAAAACAAGCTGCCATACTTATATAATAACCACTACCTACTTTTCATTTTCAAATGGCAACCTATATTAAAAATTCAATGTATAGATGTGATATTAATTAAAATAAATCGGTCTTTTGTATGAAAACCTACAACCACTAAACTATAACATACATACAATATTCACAATATTGAGTTATTTAACATAACACATAATATCCGAAAATATGGAAAATTAGTCTCTTTGCAATGGGGTAACCCCTTTGTGAACTAATTATTTTTCCAAAATGTTTTTCAGCCCTATTGCATATAGACTAACTGTAGTTAAGCCTCTTTAAGAACTACAATAAGTATAATATAATAATTACTATTTTACTTATTTTATTTTAAGGATAATTTATTACTTTTACAAAAATATGAGATCAATAGAATTATTATAACATGTAAACTGTCAACCGCATTTATTTGTTTTGTAAAAAACATTTTTAATAATGAAATACAAACAAATTCGACTATTTTCACTATAACGCAGATGTTTACTAATGTCTAGTATTTACAGATAGTATGCTGACAAAAATTTGTACATACGTAAGTACATTTGTAAGTTATAATCTAATCAACTGATGAACTAATGTAGCTAAATACCTACCTAGAATCTGAAATGTATACGATTGATATGATTTTATAAATTCGCCTTTGATACAGTTTAGAAATGGGGAGGTATGTTTTAGTCAATATTTCAAAAGTAGATGGTGGACCATTTAGACACTCAAAATATAATTGGCTAAGTTGTAGACAAAAAATGTATCACAAAAAAACCATATGTAACAATAAGTAAATATTTTGCATATTTTCTTTTTTGTTAGTAATGTAAAAAAAAAAACTAGTAATGTTATAGCCAAAAACTTTAAAATAATTTAAACTTCACTGGTACTGGCCATTGATACAGTTTATAAAATAAATATAATACTATATAATAAGTATCATACTTACTCAGATTATTCAGTTTAATATTTACATGCTATAATAATTGTATTAATCTTTTTTTTTGTAAAAGTAATAAATTACCCTTAAAATAAAATAAGTGAAATAGTTATTACTGTATTACAATTATTCTAGTTCATAAAAGGCCTAACTGCTAATAGTCTATATGCAATAAGTCTGAAAAACAGGAAAACTTTGGAAAAATAACACATAGTTCACAAACGAACTACCACATTGCAAAGAAACTAGTCTTTTTACAAAAAGACAAAGTTTTTATATGGCCTATGACATATATAACATTACAAAATGATCATTTACCCGTTCACAGTTATCTAACCAGATAACTGTGAACTTGACTATCATCTGCAAATTACTATTAGACTATCATTATTATTAGTATTAGTATAAAATATTAAAAAAAATAAAAATATATCTCAGCTGTTAGTTAGTATTTAATAGCAACAAGAATTAATGTTAAAAACACACAAACTATATAGATCAATATAAATAGGTAATTTTTTAATACATTTTTACTAACATTTTATATTACAGATAACATTTAAAAAGGTAATTTTAATAATGAAGATATTACTATTTTCCAAAAACTTGATTTAGTACATATAAAATTATAAAAATTTGATTTGATACTTTAATTGCACTGAGTGAGTAATCATCATTACATTATTTTTAAATCCCTCTAGCATTTCAGCTTCTTAAATATGATTTAAGTTATTTTTTGAGGTTTATTTGATATTTTTAAGGACTTTTTTTATCACATAATAGCAATATTTCTGGTAGAAAAGTTGTGTTCACTGATAAAAAAAATTAAAAAATAAACATCATTATAAACCATTATAAGCCTCTCTCAGAATCTAAAATGTGCCCACTGAAAAGAGTCAGAAAACTGAGAAGAGTCATTGGTTCTTCTAATATGATAGTCATTTTTTAATTATTTAAGTACAAACATATTAATATATTTTTTAATGCAACACAATACCTTTTCATATTATAAAATAATATCTAAATTACAGGATATAAGATAAAGTAATTAGCTAGTAATTAGAAATTATTTACAAAATACTCATAGAGTATTGAATTACAGTATGTATTAAATATTATTCTATGTTTAAACTTATAATTATAATAATAATTGATAAATTTAATTTAAAACTTGTATTTATACAATACACTTATAAACATGTTATTAGAGAAAAATACTAAATAAATACCTATTTTAGATTACAAATAAAAAAATTGTTAGATCATAGGGTGGGGTGAACTTGTTTAAACATTATATTTTCAAATACCAAGTATGTAAAAACTAGAGTTGAATGTCTTGTGTTCAATAGTTTTAATTGTTTAAAAATTAAAAATGATTCAGTGATAAAAATGCAATTATAAAAGTGTTAACATTTTATTTTATAATCAATTTTCAAAATTTGATGATTTATAGGCATTTGACATTCAATAGCTTCAATAGTTTTTATTTGGTTTTATGCATTAATAATTTAATAAGTTATAGTTAATTTACTTATTTTTTTTTTTAACTATTTAACTTAATTTTTAACTTAAGGAATACAAAAGAATTAATTTTTAATTAAATAGAGTTATTTTTATATTTAAACAAGTTGAGTTGTACTTGTAGGTTGTACAACTAACTAGTTATATTATTAGGCCATTATAGTAGGTAATAGATAATATGTACATTTTTTAAAATTAATTTAAATAGAGTTAAAAATTTAATTTTAACTTTTGGTTAACTTCTAATTTAGTTAAATTGATAGATAATTTTGATTTAACTTTCAAGTATTAACTATTTAAATTTAAATTTAACTTAATTGTATTGAAAAAAACATTAGCTTGCCTGACCTTGATTTTATGTGAATACAAATAGCCAATAGAAATACTTGAAAATTTAACATGAGGAACACTATAAATTGTACATTTGTACTGAGAGGTTAAAAAAAATGTATGATATAAGTATACCTTTTAACATACAATATTCGAACATGTGAACCCCTTTCATGTTTTCTTATTATTTAAGAATTCTTTTTTGAATGTTCTTCTTTTTTTCTTAACTTGACAGAATACCAAATTTGAGTTAAGTATGCTTTTATTTTTAGTTCAATGTCAGAGTAGTCATCTTTGTATTTGTCATGTTTACGAATAGCATCTGAAAATTCATTTTTAAACAAGTTTATTTTTAGCAATTCAGTCTATAAGAATTATAGTTCATAAGACAGCTTACCAATTATAACTTGGCATATTTTTAAATCAGAAAAAGATTCCTTCATGGATTCATTAACTCTTTGAGATTTAAAGGCATAATTACTTAAAAGAACATTACTAAATAATACATTCATAATACGTTTCGTATAAGTAATCAATGGTCCACTTTCCAAATAATATAAATCTTCAATCTATTATAAAAAATACAAGTTATTATTAAACATAATTAAAAAAACAAAATAGAATAAATAATGGTTTAAATAAATAATAGCTTATGGAAAATTATATAAAAAGGTTTTTTTTAAAAATATTTTTAAATTTGAAGTACAACATTTAAAACAATAATGTATTATATTCAGATGCCACATCTACATGTACTATCTTAGTCCAAATATTGAGCAACATGCAAAAACAATAACACACAGACTAAATAAAACTAGCTTAATTTTGATTTTAGAGTAAAAGTACCTATTATGAAATTTATAGCGAAAAATATTTTGGAACCAATCCCTTTTTGATAGTTGGACTAAGGTAATAGATGGGGTAGCAAATTTATACTCTCTTTTTTAAGCAAGATATAAGTATTTTGTAAATCATGATATTACACACACTCATATCTTTCTTAAAAATTAAAATGAACAAAAAGAAAAGACACAGACAATGTTCTTATCTTTAAGTTTGTTAATAGGTCAATTTATTCTGAAATTAAACTGAACAATACAAAGTTGTACCTGTTGAACAAAAATTTGCTATGTAATGCTGTTTAATTATGTAAAGGTACAGGTATAGGTACAGTATCCCCTTAAATGAGAATTGTAATATAATTTGCATTAAAATTTAATTTACAATAGATATTTAGTAATGAGACATATTTACAATTGAAAATATAATAAATATTACTAATACTTCATTTTTATAAATACCTAATTATAATCTTATATAAATAAAAACAATACTTGAATATAAATAATATACTGTTAGTTATTGTAAATGATTTTTTTTATTAAAGAACTAAATATATATTACCAAAAAGTCTCGGTATTCTTTATCCATGATGAGTAAAGCTTCTATCCCAATAACAGTTTCTTGAGTTAATAATGGAAACGTTATATTTAAACGTGGAATCATGGCAACCGATTCTACGAATTTTTTTTGACTTACATCACATTTACATAATATTGGGAACATAAAACTTGTCATACGTGGCATTTTGAAAGTACCAGGATGACACCAAACATTCATATTACAACAAGTTCCTTCTATATTAGAATTATATTTAATTGTCCCTTTCTTTACCGAATTACTGTCACTAATTTTGATTGTTCTAGATCCAATTTCTTTATGTATTCGTATATTTCCAATTCTTATCTTTGAAATAGTTCCATGTACACTAGTTTCAACAGTGTTGCTGCAGGGCTTATCCATTTTTTCCTCTGAAGGTCTGATTTTGTGTTCAAAAAATAACTTAAAACTTGAATAAGATCAGCTCCTATACAAATCATAAAAAAAATGTATGTTTACTACTTTTAAATTTTATCAGTTCATAATATAAATGCCATATTGTAGTAAAATAATTAAGAAGGCTCTATATATTTTTTTTAATAATTTTTGTTTAATCTTGTACCTATTTTCGTAATTTTCTTACCTTTTTCCTGGTGTGTCTTTATTTTTTTCCCAGTTTTTCACATTTGCTGAGAAAACTACAGAAAAAATCGAAAAATGTCTTCTTTAAGATACCTCTCCACACCGATTTCCTTTCTGAAAAGATGCTACAGATAAAAATCGAAGCAAGTCCTTTGGTAGAAAAATTGTCCACAGGAAAAAAATAAAAATCTTTGTAAAATCATAAGCTTCTTCGCTCCACTCAGAATCTAAAAGTAGCTAGTTGTTAGTACATAAATTACAATGATTACATTTTATATAACTCAATAGTTTTGAATAATTCTATCTAAAATAAATTGTGAAGGTTATATGAATGAATATATTATAAATTTATTGAATTCTAAATAATATTTAAATATTTATATGCCAACAAATCTGATGTAATATGACGATTAATTAAAAATTATTCAGACTAAAAATTCTGTATAATATTTTATCTTAACTAGGTACTTATTATGAAATAGATCTAATAATTTATTGGTGTTGGTTGATTTAACATGATTTTATCAATACTTAAAAAATGTTAGTTGTGTTTAGTAGTTCATTCAATTTCTTTAATCACTTTAATTACTAAGAACATTATATTTTGAAAGAGAGACTATATTTTGCATTCAAAAAATCTTCAAAACTAATAAAATACATGTTTAAATATAACTATTTAGACATTTAGAATAAATGTTAAAAAATCGATGAAAAAAAACACGATTTCTACACCAGCATCGGTGTAACATGTCAAGAAAAAAATGCTATAAAAGACAATCGCTATAATTTACAAATATCAAATTTTTATTAATAATAACATTACCAGATTTGCAAAATAGTAATTGAAGTTTCAGCAACGCTGTTGTTCAATACACTTTGGCATAAATAATTTAAGATTCAGTAAAATTCGCCACCGAAGTAAAATAAGTGTCACTATAACACAAAGGCAGTGAATACTTATTATTATGTATAAAAGATTAATATTTTTTTTTCCAGATCAGCTGTTTGCACTCCTCCATATTTTTTCATTGTTGCCAAAATAAAAGTCACCCTAACCTGCTTAACACAACTTAACATCGATATAAACATTACACAGTATATTTTATTTTTCCACAATTTGACGGCACTGTGTTAGCGGCGTAGTGGCGTTGAAAAAATTTTATGGTGTTCGCATTATAGGCATGAAAAAGACCAAACATTTAAAATAACGAAATAATAATGTCATTTATCTGTCCATTTTTAGTCTATGTCATTTTATATTCTGAGTGGAGCGAAGAAACTTATGATTTTACAAAGATGTTAATTTTTTTTAAATTTTTTTATAGATAACATTTTTTACCAGAAGACTTGCTTAGATTTCTACGTGTAGTACCTTTTCTGAAAGGAAATCGGCATTAGGGTGGGGGAGGGGGTACTTAACCATTTTTTAATTTTCTTAGTTTTCTTATCAAATTCGAATAAAAAAAAAAATTTACGAATTATAATAAATATAATTTACGATTTTTTTCCTGTGGACAACTTTTCTATCAGCAATTTTGCTCCAATTTTTTTGAAAGGAAATTTCACTTATGAGGATTTTCAAAGAGCTTATTTTTTTGATTTTTCCAAGAGTTTTTCCAGCAAATGTGAAAAACCAGGATAAAACATAGGAAAATTGGGAAAATCGATGTAACATTAAACAAATTTTATTAAAAAAAAATGTATAAAGCCTATTTAATTATTTTATTATAAAATGGCATACATATTGTTGACAAAGCATGGCCATCAACTGTACTCCGCTCAAAATCATTTTTTCATATGCAATGATTTATCGTTGCTTATAGATATAAATTAAATTTCTATCTATATCCTAACTTTCTAATTTCCCACTTACATCAGTGACTGCACCCATCCCCATTATCTTACCTTTCTTTTTTAATTTTTGGTTCATCCCAATTATTATGAAAACTAGTTGGAAAATCAATAAACGACTACTTTAAATTTTTTATTGAACACTAGCTGACCCGGCAGTCAAAGCCAGATTTAGAACTAATATTTGTGAATTTAATTTAACGTTTACTTGAAAATAAATTATATTTTGTTGTTAGAATTATTGTTGAACATAAATATTGATATTTATATATATATAGAACACCGTCCCTATTCACTCATCAACGCCCAGACCAAACCGCTGGGTATAGAGACTTGAAAATTTGTACAGAGATTCCTTAAGCAATGTAGGGGCGCACTAAGAAATAATTTTTCAAAATTCGACCTCTAAGGGGGTAAAAGGGGGGTTTTTAAAAGCAGTTTTTGTATAACTATATATGTATATTTTTTTCCGACTGTTAATCGCTGGTTACCGGTGTCAAGGTATCAATTATATAACTACTAGCTGTCCCGACACGGCGTTGCTCGTGTATTAGTTTCGTTTTTGGCATTTTCGTAAGTCGTGTGTTAGTTTTAAATTTTATTTTATTGTTAGTGCTAATATTACATGTAATTCACAATTTAATAATAACTATCAATTATATAACTGGTATTAATAAAACCAGTCGCAGGTAATCGGTGACCCGCGATTGCAACACACAATAGATACCGTTGGTGGACGGTTAAAGTCCAAAGATAATGTGAAATTGTGAAAACGTGCTGCGTTCATCTACTATCGATTGTCGGCCCTACTCCCCACTGACCGGATCAGCAGCCGTCCACTGCTGCCGCGTCACCACTGCCGTTTGACGTATTTCACTTCCACTGCATCTTGCGGCTGTTAAACACGTATTTATTCGAATACGTTTTGAAAACCGTTTGATTGGCGTGAGCTTCACACATTATTAACGCGCCTTAACACATTGAGTTTGGTTAGTTATTTTCGTGCGGTACACGAATTACAAATCGCGTGTGTCTGTATAAAACGGCGTTCAAAAGTAAATTTTGATTATCGTATTTAACAATTACGACAATAAACTGTTGTGTTTATAAAACAAAAACAATTTAAATCTTTAATTATTTAAAAGGTGTTGTGGTTGAATTTCAATTTTGTTACTTAATCATTTGCAACAGCGAGTGACCTGTAAACGCGTGATTGTCGCAAACGCCTTGAAAATCGTTTTGTCAACGTCAGCTTTTTAGCACATTAAATTCAGTTTGTTATTTTCGCGCGATACACGAAATAACAAACCGCGTTTACAATTTCGAACTCCTCTCTTCAAAACATATTTTTGTTACAAAAATAGAACATTATTAAAAATAAACTATCCTAAAAAAAAAAATTACGTTTTTCTGAAGAACTGATTTTTCGTTTGTTCTCGTTCATTATTCGTCAATAAATATAACGTCAATCATATCATTCTTGTTATCTTGCTATATTTAGGAGTGCGTCAATTACGGACTCTAATCTAAGCACAACTTGATTTATGTATGACAACTAATCACGCTTATAGACGTTATGGTCATTTCTAAAATGAATCGTGTCGCGAATATATGTCCATGATAACAATTAAAATCCTCATTGATAAAAACAGTTTTGTCAAATTATATATTGATTATACCTACTTCTGGACCAACAGACCCAACGATAGGGTGGGCGGGGAAACCAGGGCTGTAGTCCTGGGGCCCAGTCTCAATCAAAGTTACTAGGTTCTATATTTTAACTAATTTTTATATTAATATAAAAATTATTTGTAGCTGAATTTAATACAATTTTTCTTTAAAAATCAAAATAATATGTAGGTATTAGGTACTTATATTATATTAAAAATTAAATCTTAAAAATAAATCAATTACTTTGTATCATATTATTTGTGCTTTTGAACATCTTATACCTCTTCAACTTTAAACCTTCATTTTGTTATACGTATGTCAACGCTGGACGTTAGTGCGACTTAAATTTAATATTTGATATTAGGAGGAATTAGTTTGTCTCTGGAATCCATAATTCTCTCCTTGGCCCTGTTTACCAATAACTATGTCATATACCAATTTAAGTCCACTAAGTCCACTAATCTTGAGGAGTCTATCACCACTGTCACTTCCTATATTATAGACTATAGTGGAAATGATACATTTTTAAAAATGTGTACCTATTTAGTAAGTTTATTATTTACCTAGTTACCTATATTGTAATTAGGTAATTGTATAATATTTGGAACCGAGCATAGCGAGTAAAAGTTTATTTCTGTCACCGAGAATTTAATTCAAAGGCCCCTAAATAAAAGCCCCTACCCTCAAAAAATCTTAATAACTTCACTTACAGGTACCTACCTACTTATAAATGATTAGATGATTTTTTAAAGGAATCATCTGCACAATATTCCTGTCGTTTCTTACTAGATATTAAATGATTCAGTCAATTTTTGATTTTAGTAAGTATTATATTTCCTATACCTACTATAATAAAAATGAATAAAACGCCGACATGTTTACTGTTTTAAACATACCTACTTCAAGACAATATACCCAAGTACACTGTTGTGCTGTTGACATTCTCTTTTTTACTTTACTCGGCGATGCACTGAATTATTATACGACAATGGGTTAGGTAATCAGGTATATTTTTGAAACTATTAATTCAAAATAAAAGTTAAACGTTTAATACTGATTTTGTTTTATAGAATTTACAAATGCATTCAAAGAAATTGCTTTAACATTATACATTTATAATACCTATAGGTACTTACTGTTTTTAAATATATTAAGACTGATATAGGTACGCGAAGATGTTTAAATAATGTACAATAATAATAGTAATAATATGCAATGTGACCAAAAAGTATTATATATTTTGATTCTACAAAACATTTATGATAATACCATATGTTTATATACAAATTTTGTATTTTTAAAAATAATAATAGTATTTTAGAAAAGAGTGACCCATCGTAATTCTCAAATATTAAATTTTGGTAGGTACCTATCTACCTATATCTACCTATCTGTATAATATTAATTATTATACTCTATGTAAAGATCTATACAAATAATACTGTAATTCTATCACACAAGTGGTAAAATAACTTATAAGGTTGAGTACTTCAACAGTAACTACCTAAATAAATAGGTAAATGAAATACAAATTGATTATAATTTTTTTAAATTAGGTACCTATATTTTATTTTTATGAATGGTAATATTAAGTAATATTAAGTAAGGTTTTTTATAAATCGGTACATTTAGCGCCCTCTAGATGTTAATAGAAAACTCAGCTCGATAACTTCTTAAAATTTGTCACAGATATTTTTAATTCCATTGTACTGATGTTTGGTTTTTTTCATCTATAAATCTTCGATTTTATTATTTTGTTGTAATGTTGTAATAAGATTGAAATATTTTCTAGTTTGTGCCACAGATGTGGTCTATAGTTTAGTACCTACTTATCATTCATGTAAACACAGATATCACAATTTCTAATGTCTTTGAAGCACGCTCAAAAGTTTATACAATGGATCCAGATAGTCAGCATTTCCATAGAACACGACGATACGTGAGAGTGTTAGACAGAAACAGAACGACAAGCGCCGCGACGAGTTTCTAGTTTATTCTGACTTCTATTATATTCCATCTCCTTTAGTCCATGCTCGGAATTTTTAATAAAGTATGTTTTGTTTTTGAAAGCCAGTTTTATTGCATCCATACGAACGAACAAGCGATAACATCGTCATCCATTCATTCAGTGCAGTAAGTATCCAACAAACATATGACAATAATTTACAAGTAACATGTTTTACCATGGGTTCGTTTTTTTATTCAGTCTTTTAACGCGTTAATTTTGATCTCGCACTCGCAGTAACACTCATTGACGTCTCGTGTTGTTGATAATTGTTTATCGTCTTAAAGGTAGTAGCTATTTATGTAGATATCTATTGAATAAAAATAATTGGGTTAAATGTACACACTGGGCACCCTTTCACGAATTTCACAATTTTTTTTTTTTCATTTCATGTGTCTTTTGATGTTGAAGAAATTAGTACAAAAATAATTTTTTGGAAAATATTTTTGAGTAGGTACCTAGATTTAGCTATTTAAAGTTGGCAGTTCTATAGTAAATAGTACGATAAACAATGGTACTCTCAGTCTTGTGTATTGGTGGTTAAGTGTATACTTGATGCACTAATTTCCTTACACCAGTATCGTGTTTCGTCAGGTTGTAAGTTTATATTACATTGATCGAATAGTATCTATTGCGTAGTGGCACAAAGCTACCAAGCAAAGCTGGCAGGCGGAGCTAGTCATCACACCTCTACCTGTATTGTTTACTAAACAACTGACCACATCAAATTGCTATAGTTTTTAAAATAATAGTTTTAGAAAAGTTATTTTTGTACCATTATGAAACAACAAATTGACTGAAAAGAAATTTGAAATTCCCAATGAGGCGGGTAAAGTTTTTTGTTCCATATCCGTTTTGTTTTTACTTCTGTTTTAGTCAATCTTGTAGATAGATAATTACTTCAGTATTATTTTTATGCACATAAATTATTTGTGTACTAAATATTGTTAGGTTTGCAATGTATTGTTAATATTATTTTTCTTTTAGGTACGTTTCGACTCGTATATAGGTACATATGTACAAAATTAAACCTAATATGTATTTCTTTATTAAATAAGAGTGGATGAAAAAATCCCCTAATACTACTAATTATAAAAGTTAATTTTTAAACTTAAATTTGATATGTATTAAAATTAATTATAGAATACAAAATAAATAGCTGTGTATATATTGTATTAATACATAATAATTATCATTTTCTTGAACCTATTGAAATATAATGGCACGGAATATCTAATTCAATTCTCAGTTATAATCTGACTACTTTTAAATTTATTTATAGTTTTCACTAAAGTATATCATATTTAATAATGGTGCTATGGGCGCCAAAGCTAAATCATATCTGTTTACGTGAGATTAAAATGGATCTTAGCCATAAAAAGGTTGTTTATTATTTTTGATTTTCATTGATGATCTATCACCTATTCTTGATGCTTTTTTTAGTATTTTGTTGTTCACTACTGACTAAATATTTGGAGCAAAAATAACTTAAGGGATTTGGGACAAATGTGAAAGCTCAAAATTTATATCTCATGCAATTTATATCACCACTGGTTAAGTGTTAACGAGAAACAAAATTCCTATTATTTTTTTTAAATAATAATTTTAAGTTTTTAAATTTGAACTAATTATTTATTTTTTATTGTTTAGAAATAACCATTCCTTAAAAAGTATATAATATGCAAGTTTTCTATAAACATAGATTATAAAACTAATCATTAAATTACATTATTAATACCACAACATAATTAAAATAGAGACCTACCACAGGGCCACCTAGTACCTATGATGAATTATGAATATTAAATGTCAAATTTACTTAATCACATATGACTTATTATAATTATTACTTGTACGCATGTGCAATAGATATCAATCCCTTGGCGACTCCTAGACTCAATAACAATGTCTTCAATGTATTTATGATGAATAGCTCTATCCACAATATATGATCTAAGGCAGGGGTGGCAAACCTTTTTAACACTACGTATTAAAAATTAGCTTTTTTATTTCGAGCGTGCCAAAAAAATTATTATAATTTGATTATATAATTAATGTATAAGTATAAAAAGGTTAGTTTAGGTACATTACATACAATTAAATTAATATTACTTTGTTAATTATTTATTTTGATGTGATTTTTGTTGTTGAACACTTAATGCCAATTTTTTGATAATTGGTTTATAATTAGTAACTTTTAATAAAGTACATGCGGCACTGCATTCATCTGTTAGTCGGTTTCTTAAATCTGATTTTATAAAATTAATTTCTGAAAATAGTGACTCGCATGTATAAATTGAAGAAAAAATAGACAAAACAGCTAATGTTACTATTTTTAAAGTGGAATAATACTTTGGAATTTCATCCTAAACTTTCAAAATCTTGTTCCCTATGTTTACAATCAATTTATCTAACGCCCTATCACACTGAATTTCTTCTAATTAGTTTCTCAGTATAACAAATTTTTCTTTCCATGTGGTACTCGACTGAAAATCTACAAGCTGCATTTCAAAATCATCTAAATTCAACATTTCTAAATTCAACCATTCAAACACTTTTAAGTTGAGTTTTTCTAATGACAATGTATTTGGATAAATAATAATTTCAATGGTTTATTTAAATTCTTTAAACTGAGTAAAGTGTGTAGATAATTATTATAATAAAAATATTTACATTTTTTGCGTGCTCTCAAAATCTTTTCGCGTGCCACGCGATGGGTGCCCCGCACGGGTGCCCCGCACGGGTGCCATCGATTTACCATCCCTGATCTAAGACTATGTTAATATAATTGATATTAATTGGTTTGAGGATTATCTAATCACAAATCACTATATACTGTCAAATAATATTATGTACTTAATAATTTTATAATTTTAAACTTTATATTTTAGTTTAGTTCCAAGTTCCATATATTGAGTAATAAAGTTGTGTATACTACAATTACTAGTATGTAGATGTAGATTGCATGTAGATCACGTGACTACCAATACTATTACCTATAATTCTAATATTGTACATGTCAATAAATAAATCGTATTTGAAATGTATGAATCTATGACTGAAATTAATATTTATGTTTTTAAATGCTTATTTAATAAAATTATTCAATATTATTGCTTAATTGTGTATTTACAGTACAATAACAAAATGTACCTATCTATCAAAAATTGTAATAATTTTAATTTGTGTACATTTGTAGACACCTTTTGCCACTTGATTTTTAACCACACAATAGTTAAAGACTTAGGAATTTTCTCTAAAAATGATTCAGCTTTAAAATTAACTACAAAATGATATTGAATAATTTTTTTAAAATTATTAGTTTTGTTAATAAAAATAAAAATAAAATTTAAAAATCCTTTCTGTATAAAAAATCTATACTGTTTCCTTATAAAATTGAATCTTGAATTTGCTTGTCATATCTGACATTTTAATTACAGTACTTATATTTTTATTATTGACATGTTTAGTATTATTTATTAAAAAGAGTATCTTTCATATATATGATTCCTATATCCATAGACTTAAAAAAAACTTGTTCAAGATTATATATAACTTGGTAATCTCGCTTTAAGACAAAATTGAACAGATATATGAATTTTTGATATTTTTATGATTTCCAACAATCTCAATTTTTTTTGTACTAAGCCTCAAGATAAATATATAGACAATTCATAACTATACTTAAAATACAGTAATTATGATTTTTAGTTATAAAATGTGAGTACTTTTATTGTTAAATTTAATGAATTATATATATATATATATTTTATTTATATTTTTTTTTGAAAAATACAATGAAGGACTAACCGATAAAAAGCAAAAGGATATTGCTAATGAACTAGGGATACCTCCTTCCACTTTAAGAATTTTGTTGAAAATTATACATGACATGCGGTTTGATAGGTCAGAGCAAACAAATATGTAACATATGAATATAGTATAAAAATATGTATGTATAAATGTATTTCTTTTTAATAAAATTGAGTAGAAAAATATATAATATGTAATTATAACTAATTGATAAATATATTATCTGCTTAATTATGTTCAATAATAAAAAAATTAATTCAATATTTCTATAATTTCATTTTTTTTCAATTTCTGTATAACAGGCTTTCCCACTTAAGATGGTCCCTTTAAAAGTGTCTTAAGCGAGTTTTATTGTATCAGATTTAATTTGGAAATGGGAAATTCTATAATTTCAAGTCTTTTAAACCATTGTGTCTTATTTGTAAAATAGGGGCAAATTATCCAACAAATGAATTGATGTTAAGTGGGTGTCAAGTTTAAATTGTCTTTTTTTTCTTCAAATAATTGCATGCTTACTACCTATTAATTTTATGAATAAGTAATTTTTATTTATAATAATTAATAAACTTACTCATATAATATTATTAAATTGAATAATAAATAGTTAAATATAATAAAAAAACAAAAAATACAGAATAAGTTAAAAGACTGGTTTGTTATACAAATCACAGCAACTCCAAGCCATTGGAAAAGAAATTTATAAAAAAAAAGATAACAAATACATTTAGTAGTAAGTAAGCAATTTCTTCTAAACAATTTGATTGTGATTCACTTAGATTCTTGTTTTAGCTGACTTAGTTCTTTTTTCATATTTGTGTTTTTGTGAAGGATATAAATTAAATAATATTTAATTAATAATAATATAGTTTTAGAATAGAATAAAATACAAAACATATTCTTATAAATAATATCTTCAAGATAAAATGAATATGATTAGTTTTTTAATTTATTATTTTACAACTTGTATTTAGTAGTTAATGGTATTAAACATTTATTAGTTTTCCAATTGTCATAACTACATATGAATAGTAAAATAATAAGTGTAGTGTACACTAGTTCAATACATTTTATTAAATGAAATATTATTAATCCTATAAAAATGAATTTATGTAAACTATGTTTTTCTATGTAATATTCATGACTATTAATTAAAAATAAAAAATAAATATTTTTCAAATATATTGTAATATTTTAATACATAAAAATACTCCATAAGTTTGATAAGATTACATTTGTTTTTCTTAGAAAAGCTGTACTCGACAAATCATGGAATGGAATATAAGTAAACGGGATATGATGGAAGCTGGACCAAGTAATGGTAGTATCAATCCATCCGAAAAAAAGGAGATTCAAAAGGCTGAGATTCAAAAGACTGAGAATCCAAAAAATGAAAAATCGCCTGAGAATGATGATAGTTATGGCTGTTCAACTGATTATGTAGCACTTTGGACTTGTAAATTATGTTACTCATGTATTTTGCACATAAGTCACATTGCAGTTCATGTTAAAGACTGTCAGAAGAGACATAAGAAAAAACATCCATTAGTTGATGAGTATGCTATTATATATGTTAACTTGTTAAACATATTTGTTAAATGTTAATTATTTTTATGCTTTTAGATTATCATACATGTGCAACTTTTGTGGCATAATATATAAAAGATTTGATCTTATGCAGCAACACTTAAAACAAAAACATGGAAAACCAGCAAAAAAAGATAAGGAGGTACAAGCTAGTGACCCTTTGGCTGAAAAATTGTCCAAATTATCAGTTAAAAAGTAAAAAAGTATTTTGATTTGTATAAATATATTCAGTAATACAATTAAAAGTTGGTAGGTACAGTATAATTAGAAAGCCTGTGTATCAGAAAGTGGCCAATGAACACTAATTAATGTAAGTGGGTGGTGTTATATTTTCAAATTTCTTTTCATATTTTCATATAGTACTATTACAATATCATAAATGATATTGATAAATATTAAATTATTATAATTATTAGATAACAGTGTCTTGGAGGTATCTATTATAAAAGGGATTTGGATTATTAATAGGGTAGAGGACTTGTAGCACTAAAGTCACCAGATATGCACATAAATACTTAAAATATACATTTAATTTATAAAATTTGAACACATAACAAAAAAAAAATTGTATTTTTTAACATTTTTAAATTAAGACATTCATTTAACACTTGTGACTAAATTCATTGAAATTGTATGATAGGTAGGTTCATTATTTTGTGAAAAGTCTCAAAATTAATGCAATTGGTTTTTATTTGACATTTACTCATGAACTCATCATTATGATTTAAATATTGAATTTCTGTTTTTATAAACAATAATTTAAATTTTGAAAATTAAACTATATCATTTAAACATCCAGTCTAGAATTCTTTGAGCTGTGGAAGTCCAAAGTGTTGAGTTTAGAGGAGATTGAACACATAGATAAAAAGCACAATTATTACAACCAATAATGTTGAAACAGATATAAATTGTAGTATGGATTAGTCTAGTAAAACACCAAATTCAATAAATCAGTGGTTCAAAAAAGGTCTTATGAATAACATGTGGTATCTGGGTAATATTATTTGGATGAAATTGCAGTATCCTTTATAAGGGGAACAAATCAGAAATAATGACTCCATTGGTCACTCTCAGGCTTTATAGATACAGGTACCTAATGAAATGAAAATCCTCTGCTTAAATAAAAGAATGTTTATTACTAATATATAAGTAACAATGTAAAAATAATTGAAATACAATAAAAAGTTATTTTAAATATTTCTTTTTCTTCTTTGTTTTTTAAATTATAAATAATATTGTTTTAATATTACATTATACTATAGTGTGATAGTGCCATTTGTATTGCTTGTAGTAAAACGCACAGGATCACTAAATATGCCTGCATTGTTCTTAAAAGTTATTGAAATAGCAGTCTTGTACATTGTGGATGGCTGAAGATTGAAAATGTAAGATTGGAAACTATTCTTTATTACTCTTGGTCTTAAGTTTATGATTTTTATTTTCATTGGTTCTAAAATATGAAATGTTTTTAATGAAAATTAAAAATAATAAACATAATTTATCAATGATTATAATTACTAATAGGATTTTTTAAAATTACTCTTAATTTTTTAAATTGTCAGTATTGGGAATTGCAATAACAATATAAATAAATATAAGTACTCTAGTTATTATTTTATTCTTATTTTTTTTTCTAATATTTTTTGGAAGTGAAAAGAGAAGAAGTTGAATGAAAAGTTATAATAATAATTGTTAAGTTAAATTTACTGGTTAATTAAATTGGTACATTACTTTAATGTAAAAATGTTAATACGTTAATATTAATTAGAATTTTAACAAAATTTTATCTTACCTTTGCAATCATAATGATGTATGGATACTAATGGACAAACCATTACACGATATTGTTTAATTAAGCCAATTGTGTCTGTACAGTCTAATTTCCATCTGATCGCAATATATGTCCCTGAAATTACAGTTATCCAAAAGTTTTTAATTTTTCCGTTTCCTAAAAAAAAAAATAACAATTTAATATTACATAGTTATAAACATCAATAAATTGAAACAATTTTATTAATGTAGTGTATGTATATTGAAAAAATTACTGAAATCTCTTTACCTGGGGTAGGTGGAAGAGTACACAATTCCCATACCATACCAGTACTGAGAGTATTAAACTGATTATAGTCAATATTATTATGGCTATCGGTTTTGAACACTTTACTATTGGCACTTATTGCAAATTGATAATTTTTTAGTGTATTTGACACAGAAACAATGTGCTGTGATTTTGAACTGAGTACTGATGTCCAATTCAAATTACTCTGTACATTAATTAAAGGTATTTAACTTAAATTAATATTATTAACTACTAAATTGATGCTGTTTTACATACATTGCATTGATATGGATAGTTATTTTCAATTTCACACCAAAATAAAGTGTAAAAGTTATTTGCAGTGGAAAATTGCATTTGCTCACTATTTACCCACGTCAATTTGAATACACCTGGTTCATCATACTCAGTTTTTGTAAGTGATGATAATTTTTCAAGCTCTGCAATAACATTACCAAATAAATAATAATACAGTTTAGTAGCTGATAATAAATCCCACTTACCTTCTGATGCACTTGGTGGCACATAAATTGTTGCATACTCTGTGGAAAATACATTTATATTTATTGAATATATTTCAATGTTGTATCCAATATTTGTACTGAGTCCCAAAAACATAGCTTGATTGACATGTGTAGAATTACTTGGGTGATATCTGTAATAATAAATAAATACTAATTTACAGTTGCAATCATGGCTAAGTTATTAAACTTGTTAACAGAAATTGATTAAAAAAATGTATTTGTTAAAATAAAAAGCTGACAGGTACATTTATTTTAATGATATTATATACTGACATAGTTATATTATCATGTTTTGTTGTATAATAAGCTCGATACTCCAATAATTTGTTACATTTTTCATTATTAATGTCATGCCAATAAACCAACACATCTCTTGTGGATTTTCTGTCTACAGTTGTTATATACTGGAAGCTCCCAAAAGTTGTTGATGGAGGTCTCCTAGGCACTAAGTCAATTAAAAAGTTATATTTATTTTGTATAAATTAAATTTGGTACATATAAACTAAACAGAGATAGGGAAATTGGAATTAAGTGATTTTAGAATAAGTAATGAGTAGAAAACTTTCTTCCTCTTGACATGGTATTTATTGGTTTGTGATGGGAGTTAGAACAGGAAAAATTATTTACAAATATTTAGATTATAATATGATAGGCCATAAATATATTTTTGGCTATGTGATTTTCAATCATTTTTTCATTTGACAATTTAAAATTTACTTATTACTTAAATTTATAACTATAGTCTATAAGTTATAGGTATACTTGTTTTCTTAAAATTTTATCTCTATTTGACCTTTATAGAATTAAAAATATATGTAGAACAATGTATAGGGGTTTTTATTTTTTATTATTATAAAATGTATTTGTTCTGTTTAGAAGATAATTCAATTTTGTAATTGTATATCTATTTGTTATTCTACCCTGTATACAAGTCTTTGTTGAGACTGAATGAATAATTAATAATGTCACTAATATTAATGGCAGCCATCTTCTGGTATATTTTTGGTAACCAGAGTTCACACAATACCCTACTCCATTCATAATTGTAGAACTCATCTGGATTATTTGATGGAATAAGTCTGAAATAAATAGTTGATAATTAATATTGACAAAAAAACAATAGTTTTAATAAAGCTTTTAATAATTTTAACCTTAACATATTGGTAAATATCAAATTTCATAAATGGTCCATCCAAAAAAAAAAATTAAGATAATTAAGGCATACTCATACATCAACTCCAGATACAAATAATTATTTTAAAAAAATTTGTTTTATTTCAAACTTTTATTTGTATAAAAAGAACTTAAGTCTTAAGAAATATTACAACAACATAGTTATATCTGTCTAACATTCTCAATATGTATTTTTAATTAATTATAAACTTTTTTTTCAAATTCTAATTTTAGCAAGGAATTTATTGATTGTACTATGATATGTTTATTATTATTATTTTTTGTGCCCCTTAAATAATGTAATAGGTACTTTCCTGTAGAATTTTTGATATGATTGGTGTATTGCACAGTCATTTTTTTGATTTTCCTTGTATTTTCTAAATAAATCAGAAAAACTAGTAATTTATGTTAATTTCGTGGTTATCTTATCTAATATCAATTCTTGTATACAGATTTAAACAAAATTACTCTATATAATATAGTATATATCCATATTTTCAAATACCCCCTTAAAACATTGTCACATCCATTAACTGTCTTTATTTTATTAAACTATGAACAAGTGAAACCCAATTTTTTACAAATTAATTTCTTAACTACTACTTTTTTTATTTATAAAGTTATAACTAAATACCAGTTTTTGCAATTTATAATTCAAAATTTATTCTTAGTGCATTATACTTTTTAGTTAAATGTTAATTATAAGTTATTTTAATTTATATAAGCAAAAAATTAAATATTACACTTTTGTATTGCATATGTATGCTATATTATATAATATTTAACTTTTTGTTTATATAAATTATAATAATTAATAATTAACAAATAAAATTATGAAGGATAATAAATAATTTAAATTTTATTGTGCATATTTTAACTTTTTTCATGTTTGTTTGCATGCATATTTAACAATTATATTTGCATAGTGTAAATGTAGTCTTTACTTATAATTAACTCCATTGGTGCGCACAAACAACCATAATTTACTTGAGTTATTAATTTTAATATTTCCCAAGTTATTAACTGAACCAGGTGATTCATTTAAGTTGGTACACACATTTTCATCTTAGAAAGTATTAACTTTTTTCGGAATTTGTTTTCTAAAATATTTAAGAAACAAGTGAGTTGCTCTACAATTTTATATTTGTGTTATTTTTTGTTCCCCTTATTTTTAGGGATAAAACCACTAGGTACCTACTTTTGATTTTCAAATGGCGACCTATATTAAAAATTTCACAAATAGATGGAGTATTATTTAAAATCAATTTTAGATTAACAGAAATTAAAAATGTCAACATCTGAATTTATTTTAACTAATACTTCGTCTGTTTATGACATTTTTATATAGGTTGCCATTTGGAAATCAAAATTAAAAAGTGGTTTTACTCCCACAAATAAGAGTGACAAAAAATAACATAAATATATAATTGTAGAGCTGCTTGTTTCTTAAATGTTCTGAAAAACAAAATTAACATTTTCGGATATGATGAGTGTACCCACTTAAATGAATCACCTAATTTATTGTAGTTTTGGTAAGAATTTTAATTTAAAATATTTTTGATATTTATTCCATTGAGAAATAAAAATATTATTTATTTTAAATTTTTAAAACATTTTTTTCCAATAAAAATTAGTATACTTAATTAGTAAATGAGACAATGGGATTTTTTCTTTTATGCATGCATTTATACAGTTCCAAATATCACCGTGTAATTTATCAGCAAAAATGATGGTATTAAAAATAGTTTATCAGCATACTATGAATTTGAAGACTTGAAAAAACAATGTTACAAAAATTCGTTTTTAAAAAGTTTCCATAAGTTGATGTGAATGAGCAACATAATTCCTATTTCTTTTGGAATTTGTTAGAACTCATTTTCAGTTATGTGTAGATATAATTGACTGTATGCAAGTATGGATCAAGAAAGATTTACCAATAAGTTCTCAACCTTTTGAAGCCTATGCCCCCTTTTATACTATTGTATGAGCTTGAAACCCTCCACCCTCATTACTATAAGATTTAAGAGTATTTAATCATTTATTTTTATATCTATGTATAATAACATGTGTACACCATAACATATTATACATTAATATTTGTTATTGGATTAATGGAAATACATTTTCAATGTAGTTTTTTTTTAATATTTAATGAATAAAAAAAATATCAAATTAAAATATATTATTGTTAAATAATAAATAATCGTAATTACACAGTAATACCCTATTCATTTTTATTGGAATATAATATAAATAATTGAAAACCCTTGAAGTAGATGATGAGGTAATTTTGAAAATATCTGTGCTATTAAATACTTAAAAAGCTCTGGCTTATGTAAATTAAATTATTTATAATCTTTAAATCGTTTTTGTATTGAATAAAATAATATCATAGTTTAAATGATTTGTTGATAGGAGCTCTGATAAGTACATATATCACACAGTATATATTTCATAATATTATAGTAGCCCACACGACCCGCTAACCCAACAGTCCTTTTTGTCCCTAGTCTATGTGCCTTTCCTGGCTACACCACTAGCTTCTTAAGATGATGTTATACCCCCATCTACTGTCTCGGTTCAACTTTCGGGTAACATATAAAATTAATGCTTATACAGAATAAGAAAAACTAGCTTAATTTTGAATTTGGAATAAAAGTACATATAATAAAATTTAAAGAGAATGATATTTTGGAGAAAATGTCGTAGGATTTTTGTATTATTTATAATATACAGATCGATATAAAAGAAACAATACACTTTTTTATTTTTTTTATTTTTTAAATAACTGTAACTTTTTTAATAGTTCATAATTCAAAAAAAACCTATGACATTCTCTCCAAAATATTGTTCTCTATAAATTGCATAGTAGGTCCTTTTACTCTAAAATCAAAATTAAGCTAATTTTACTTATTCTGTGCAAGCATTGTTTTTGTATATTACCAAGTAGTTGGACTGAGACAGTAAATGCGGGTATAACGTCCTCTTAATTTCATTAACTATTAAATGTTGGATAGGTACTTACCTTTAATATGGTTGGAATCAACTGCAGTTACAATTAATTAATTTTAATTTCTTCCAAATTATGTATAATAATAATGTAATTTGAAATGATGTAGATTAGATTTATTTGAACGTATAAACACATATGTACTCTCCGGTCGAGTATCGAATAGCAAATGAAACACCACAGGCCGATTGACAAGCTGGAAGAACAAAATTATATCAATGAAATTGTCAACAAAAAAAAAAGCCTACCTGTTTATTTCTATAAGAATGTATTCATTTAGTTTTTTACGTATTTAGGTATCTATTGTAAACGCCGCCGTCGGTATCTTTTTGTATTTCATTTATCGTTTGAATAAAAAAAAAAAAAAGTGTTTCCTTTGTGCAGTCAATAAAAATGGTGGTTTTTGTATAATTGTAGTTTTGGGTACCTGCCGGCTACCCTATTGTTCGCCAATCGTTTCCGTTTCTATAAAATAAGTTCATCAGTTTGATCGAGCAGATACCAACAGCTCGAAAAGGAAGTAAAAAATAGACTTATTTTAAATTATGACTAATACCTTTCAAATTAAATAAAAACATTTAAATTTTTATAACAGCATGTTATTTTGTAATACATGTTTTTAATTTCTTTTAATAAATATAATGGTATATAAGTATCGATTAAGTGGACATGATATATATCGGGGATTTTCAGTAGTAGAAAAACGTTCCCACGAAACAGACAAAAGTAAATAGATAAGTTTTTTAAATATTTTAAAGAGAAAATGCCTAATATAAAAGTTGAAAGAGAGATTAGGTGAGTAGGTAAGTAGGTATGGGATATTTTTGAAGTAATCTCATAAATATGCATTTTTACAATATTTACATTGGAAATATTGTTCTATATTCATTTTGTTATGTCAGTGATAGTTTTTTTCCATTTCGCACGAATATGGTTTTTTAAATAAATCTTACGATAATGATTCGGGAAAACTTTTGAGCTATTATTTTGATTGTGAATTTCAATATTTTTCTGTGCCTTAACCAAATAGAATGCGAGTATATAATAAAAATAAAATTAAAAAAAATTTTACGGGATGATTAATCTATCGTAAGATATTCATTATTTCAGAAAGTATTAACTTTTTTTGGAATTTATTTTCTAAAATATTTAAGGAACAAGTAAGTTGCTCTACAATTTAATATTTGTGTTATTTTTTGTTTCCCTTATTTTTAGGGGTAAAACCACTAGGTACCTACTTTTGATTTTTAAATGATGACCTATATTAAAAATTCCACGAACAGATGGAGTATTACTTAAAATCAATTTTAATGTTGAAATTATTAATTTCCGTCAGTCCGTTGACTAGATATTCCGCTTTTAAGTTTGGGTTAAAGGAGAGTTGTGGAGTATCATTTGTGTGGCGCGCGAATATTAATAATGCACCAACATTCTCTCCCAATCCATACTTAAAATTGGAATATCTCGTCTACCGATTGATGGAAATTAAAAATGTCAACACCTAAATTTATTTTAACTAATACTTCGTTTATTTATGGCATTTTTTTGTATAGGTTGCCATTTGAAAATCAAAAGTAGGAAGTGGTTTTACACCCACAAATAAGGGTGACAAAAAATAACATAAATATATAATTGTAGGGCAGATTGTTTCTTAAATATTCTAGAAAACAAATTCCTGAAAAAGTAATATTTTCCGAGATAACGAGTGTCTTACGATAGATTTATCACTCTGTATTTTACTAACTGTATTCCAGGGTATTTTTTAGGGCGGTTTTCCGTGTTTAAATAGACACTTGGTTCAGCCTATTGGACACCCAGTAGAATATACGATTTTACTAGCTGTAATACCCAGTATTTCCCCGGGCCTAATCCTTCAGGCAGAAACCTCCTAATTTCCACCATTATATCTATTGCAGTTGACTGTTAGTTCATTTCTTTAAAAAAGGGTCCTAGCTTGTCTGTGAAAAACAAATTAAATTAATTATAACATTTTTTTTTCATTCGCGTAGCCGACGTAACCGAAAAATAATAATAAAAAAAAAATATTCAATTTTTGTTTTTTTTAGTATTTTTATACTAAAATCCCGTGTCAGTCTCCCTTTAGGGGCTAATTGATTAATTTTCGAGTTGAAAAGTAGACCGCGTTCTTTCTCTTGATAACGTAGCTGTAGACGTATGAGTAGTGGGGGGTCATGAATGATGAGTATGTGTGTACACAATGCAGACGGCAGGCAGTAACGCACGTCGCCGATGACGAAAAGTGACGACACAACAGAAGACGTGAAGGGGGAGGTGGTTTATTAGAATGTACGCGTGCTCGCAGCAAGCAACGCACGTCGCTACGTAACTACATAGAAAACTAATGGTTCGAATTGTTTTAAAAAATTATTTTTGTTTTAAAATTCAATTTTCGCCTACAAACCAAACACTAATGTTAAAAAAAAAAAAATCATCCCAAACGGTTCTGTAGAACTCCAAATATAGCTGTGCAAAGAAATCGCCTTGCGTTTAAATAATGTATAAAGATTACTATATTTAAAATATATTCACATTGGAGGGTTTACTGGGAAAAGTACAAAAGTTAATTGGATGGTTTGGTGGTAGAATCAATTTTAATGGGGGGAGGGATTTTACAAGCAATGGATGTTCACTAAAAACTACCCTCACTTAGGTACTATAAAATGTAAATACTTTTTCACTACGATATTTTTGTATGGGTACAATGAACACCGAAAAAAATTAAAATTGTTGAGTTTACGTCACTGATTAAATTGCCTAAGTTAAATTTACTAAAATAAATTAAACTACAACTATTGTATAAAATAATATAATAATTTTACTAATCGAATACGTACAACAAAATAAATAAAACACTAGGTGGGTAACTAAAAAGAAAGAAAAAATTTGTTCACAATTTTTCTTTGATAAATATGCGACTCGTTATCGTAATTGTAATTCATAATTGACCTTTATTGGTTATAGTGGTTATATTTTAACATTTTTATATGATATTATAATAATCGTGGATAAAAAACTTAACACAAATTTTATTAGTGTCATTGTTATAAGTTAATTTAAAACCATACATTTGTAATATCTAACTTCAAAGCGATTTGATAGTGTAAACAAAATTATTCATAACCAATGCACAATACTTTGACTATTAATTAGAAATATTAGATAAGGAATTCAATCGATTAAATCAAAATTCTATATTATTATCTTTTCATTGAGAAAACACACGACGCGTCATAAATATAAGTAACTAGATAAATAGTAATTAATGAATGCGGTTTACACGAGAATTCATATTTTATTATTATCGATTGAATTATTAATAAAAGAAATACTTCATACTAGAAGAGTAAGATGCAAGGCGGACACACTTGACACCATAGATAGGCCACAGTTTTAGGTGCGATGTCGGGAATTCATGTATAGGATTTACAAAATATAATAGGTACAGAATATACGGAATCAACAGCGTATATAAATATATCTATATTTATTTATTTTATTCTCTAGCGGACATTATTTTCATGTAATTTTATAAACTTTAAGGTCCTGTTAGAAATCTAAATTTGTACCCATATAGAAACCAATTAAAATAAAATTTGTATTTTGATATTAGACATTAAATGAGTAGATTCTTACTTAGATACAAATATTATTTTATTAATTAATATTTGTATTAGCTATGCATAGTACATTTGGTACCTACCATCTCGATTTTTGCCGTGTGGCCGTGCCCTAAAAGGAAACCACACGGCCACACGGGTCGCAATTTCCGTACTATTGGGACAATATTATTATTATTATTATGTGTAGATAAAATGATAAATTTGGAATACATAATTTACGTCTTGCGGCGGGACTCCGCACAAAAACGGGGCTAGTTGTGGCCGCACCACTTGCCCCCCTCTCCTTAAGGCGGGCACTATGTGCCATGGCACACCACGTGCCTTTGCGTTTAAAACGAAATTGACTCATATTGGGTTTTATTTAGTTAAATGCTTACCAATTTGATATGAAAAATCGCCATAGTGTAACCAATAAATCAAATCAACCGGCAATTACTTACTGTGATTTTACTTATCACTGCCGTGGGTTCAGGGCCCTATTGTAATTATGATGACATTGAGTTTTTTTTTTAAATTTTGAACAATGTTATTTGCGTGACGACACGCGTTCGCTGGAAGGTTAATAAAATACCCGATATTGCAAATAACGTTCAAATTCGTCCGACCGCTGTTCTAAGTAACGTGATTTTGCTATGTTGCCCGTTCTACGAAGATGACACATGCGAGTATCCCGTCTTTTTGAAATAGGTACCTAACACAGCGTAACGGTTTTTTAATTACTCTACATACATTGACCGCAGTTTTATTTAGGTTTTCAGGTATATATCGAAACAACATTTTTACCTGTTAAAAATCTATCGACTCCGCCGGTCATTTGAACGGTGCAAGAATCGCTGCACTGAATCGTAATTCGGTAAATAGTCATTTTCATACAAACATCCAAATATCAAATTTTTTAAGTGATAGGCACAAATCCTTAGATCAAACAAATATGCGTATTATTTTACCACATTTATTTATAAAAAATTGTATAAAACTCAAATATACATATTATACATATTATAGTACCGTTACAACGTGGCCGGAAAAACAATAAAATATTAATTATTATAAATATAAACACAACGTTAATTGTAAATATTAAATATAAATGCCAGTTATACATAATTATTTTACAATACCTAGTCATTTTTTTTATAGTGATTTGATGTCAGTTTTACATACGTCAGTCTATCAATTTTTTTTTTTTATTATTTCATAATATTCGTTTTTGCTAATTTTATTTGTATTAAGTCATTTTATTGTTGTATATGTTTCAGTTTGTATTTTTAAATTCGATACACGCGAAAACAAAAGTATATTGGGATGTGCTTTTGTGTATTTTGTGTCACGTTTAGAATAGAGGTCGGGATTACACGTGTAATGAACTATACGGATACCCGTGTTTTACCTATGACGGGGTTAAAGTCCGTGTAATAAAAATACCCGTTTTCTTAATACCTGAGTATCTAAATACACGTGAGCTATAATATTCATATATTTAATTTTGAAATGAAACTGAAAATCACGTTTTCAGCTATTAAAATACTCACACGAACCAGTGACACTGCGAGTGAATGTAATCAGAAAACTATCCCGAGAAACTTTTTATGTATAGTTTCTTATACATAGTCCCTCTTTCAGAATATACCACTTTTATATCTATGAATGCAATCCTCGACCTATTCTGATTATTTAAAGTGATGTCTTTTAACATGTTATCAAGGTCACTATACTGATTTCGAAAATATTTACATAACTTATGTGAATGCAGATAATAACATATCCTGAGCAAAAGAAATCTGCCAGGATTACAATTTCAGAATTCAGAATTTTCAAACTACCCGAAATCTGGATTTTTCCCACGCTATTGTTACGACTATTTCAGTTATTATAAGACCATTATGCTATCTTTTGTGAAAATAGAATAAGATGGCAACATTTCATTTCAATCCTTATTAAAACAATACAATTTAATCTAGCGTAACGAGTTTCACTTCAAATATGCGCACAGTGCCACAGTTTTTTTTTTATTATTATTAATTAATAACCAATTAATAATTACTGGAACAATCATAATATTAATATTTCAAATATATCTGAATTCTGAATTAATAATTAATCAATATACAATAGACACTGGAAATGATAAATAAATACACGGGCTTAAATATATTTTTTGCCCGTGTACCCGTGTATTCTAATACCCGTTCAGAACAACGGTCCCCAGAAAGAAATGATTCGCAACTTTTAGTTCGTTCTGATGATAGTGAAGACGATGTCCATATCATACTCGTTTCATGTTTATGTTGCGGGCATTTCCTCATAATCAACATTTGCGCTAAATTTAAAACAACTGTTAGATTTACCTTTCCGTTTAGGTTACCTTACCTAACCTACGCGTAGATGCTCCAGTTGTTTTTTTTTTTAGGTTTATAGCGTAGCGCGTTATCTATTGGTTTTACTATGTATTTTTCTTCAGCATATTTTCGAGACGGTAGTTTTCTTTTATTGGTGCATTGGGGAGATCATCTTTTGATTTTCCAAAGGGTTTACGAAATAATTGGAAAAAACCCGAAAAAAATTAAAGGTAAAACGACAAATATTTTACGGCACGCTACGGCGTTACCGTTTTCATTGATTTCATTATGTTAACACGATGTTTTCTACCAGAAATATTGCTCCAATCCAAAAATAACAAGAGATCGATTTTGTTTTTTATAATATTTAATTAAAAAATAAAAAAAAAAAATTGAAAATAATACAACAATTATTTTCGTAAACTTTAAAGTTATTTCTACATAATTTCGGTTTTGTCGAATTATTGAAAAGCTAAAAAAAAAAAAAAATTAAAAGTGACAACTAGATTGACAATGCAACGAAAAAAGTCTCTAGTTGTTTTTCTATTGGAGAAATATTTCTAGTAAAAATATAACGTGCAGGTATATTTTTAAATAATAAAAACGTAACGTCGTACATTTATCAGTTTTCATTTGTTGTCATTTTTCAGGTTTTCCCAATTATTATGAAAACCACTAGAAAACTAAAAAAGTTCTCTTGTTAATGCACCGACCAAATTACTAGATGGAATTTCCTTTTAGAAAAGTTGCTATACTTCATACTTCGGATCAAGTTTTCTGTTTGAAAAGTTGCTCACTAATACAAACAAAGCGAAAAATGCTATTAATGAGGAATTTAAACAAGAAAACGTAAAAAGTAAATACAGCAGAACCTCGATTGTCTGAACTAATTGGGACCGCACCGGGCCAACCTAACCGTGTTCGGACAAGCAAAAGTTAGGATAATAGAAATTTAAAAAAAAAATAATATTATTTGTACAATGAATATAGAATTATTATTACATATTATCGAATTATTATCACACATGCCATATTATATTACTTATTACGGATTACGGATATTAGGATATTATTTATTAAGTATTTATAGACTTATTATAATGTATGTCTTATTATATGTTTTTGACATGAATTGAAACGAAATAACGTTCGGATAATCGACGTTCTACTGTAACATAAACATAATTTATGGTGTACCTAACATTTTGTTTACATTTCAATGTTTACTAATTCATTTAAATATTTTTCGCGGAAGATGAACATTTTTTTACTAACAATTTATAACACTTTAGAATTATTACTTTTTATGCGCTTTAGAAATATTGTCAGGTTTTCTTATTTACGATAAATCGTCCAATTTAAAAACCACGTTATACTTTGTAGTTAGTTATTTAGTTATAGAATAAAACATAAAATCATTCACGTGTGCCTACAATATAGAAAAAAAAACAAAAAAACAAATGACGAGATAATACTTACCCGTATCTAAGAAAAAATAAAATACTTGTTCCTTCAAGTAAAAAACAATGTTTAACTCCTCTATTTCCGTACGACTGTTTACCGTTGTCTTTTTTCGTATAATAGGTAGATGAAACTTTCATTGGCTCGTCCGGAATAACCGTTCGGAAAACCGTAAACCTGTTTATAGTAACCTTTTTACTGTATATCGTGTATACCTTTATTTTCGAACCATATGCTTCTACACGAATTTTCGATGTTTTAGTTAGTTGAAGTATAATTTAGAACCCGAAATCCTGCATCTCAAGTTCCTTCCCACTGGCCACAGGTTTTGTAGTACCAATATTTAAATTTATTTATAGTATTAGTTTAGGCAATAATTTTTTACGTGCCATTTTTTTTTCTTACATATAATATATGCGAAAACTTTAATAATCGAATTTCTCGTATTAATCAAATTATTAAAGATTCAAGAAGACGTGATACCGGAAAGTGCTGTCTCTGTCGAATGAACGGATGACAGCACGTTACCTACATATAAAATTAATTGTAGTGTTTGGATTGAAATTCGATAAGTAAAAACATTTAAAGAGAAGAATATTTACGATTGAAAAAGAAATCTTGTTTACCTATACCTACAATTAAAAACATAAATAAAATAAAAAGATAAAACCAATAGCCTGTTTTAGCAATATGTCATAACCTGTACACGGTATATTGTGTTTACCTCTATTTTCTAACCACCTGTTTATATCAGTATCGACGACGGGCATATGTGATTTTTTTATTTCCAAAAACCGATAATATTTTTATCGAGAAAAGTCTGAGAGAATGTATTTACTACACACATTTAATATTGGATAACCATTATTAGTATATAGATATAGACAATACCTACGACCGGATTGAGGGTTGCGGGTGCCGCGGAATCCGTATCAGATAGGGGCCCCCGGTAAATAGAGACAAGTTTAAATTTTAAAAAAAAAATTAATTAAAATTTGCGAAGCAATGTACTATTGTTAAATAGTGTCCTTTATAATTTTAATCGGTTCCACAGCCTAAATCCGGCCACGGTTATACCAGCTTAGAGCTGCTGGTTTCGTTCAAAATAAAATAAACAAAACTAAGTAGTTTAATTTAATTAAAACGAATATATTGAAAGAAAAAAACAGTAATTAAATAAATCGTATACTCGTTTTGAGCAAACTGGCAAAAAAAAAATACAAAAAAAAGTATCTTTTTTGATTGCGTATGAATAATATTATTGTATTGTACAACCGCAGTTCGATAAGCTTAAGTAAAAACACTCTTCAGCGCAAGATGGTTCGTTCATATTACCGTTGTCGCTCTCATCGCCGAACTGGCATTCTTGTGGGGCCTCCGGTTCAGCCGGTTGTTTGTCAGCCTGCGGTCCGGCTGCTGGTTGTCCGTTGAAAAACGCCAACTCGTTGATGTCGATAGAAAGTTCAGATCCGGGGACGTCTGCGTCGGCCGCACCATCTTGATCGCCGTCGGCCGCGTCACATTGATCGTTGTCGGAACGATTGTGATCAGACGGGGGCAGCGGCGGCTGAACTGTGTCCGCCGTGGGCATGGCTACGCCGCCGTAGCGCTTTTTTTCTTGTACACCACGAGTCATCTTGGTGGCCTCCGCGGACCTGGCGATCGCGCAGTAGACCCGTTTAGTTTCCGCCACCGTGCCCGGCTTTATTTGCAGGTCGACCGGTGAAGAAAGCGACGACGATGGCGTGGCGACGGATTTGTCTTCTTTTTCGCCGTCAAAAGAAGAGCAGCTCGGGGTACGTGGCCGGACGAGACGTTTAGAACCGTGGCCAATAGTTGGCGAGGGTGGACGAACGACGGCGGCACGCTGGGCGGGTTGAAAACGGTTCCGGGCATAGTACCATTTGGTCATCTGCTGTCCGTTTTGTTTGCCGGTCGGCGAGGGTTCCATACTGACGGCAATTGGCAGGTTGTGATAAAGTCGTTATGGCGCGATGGTTGCTGGCGACTGGGCGTACAGTACGGGACGCATACAGTGTGGACAGCGAAATGAATGCCGAATGACTGCAGTAGATTTTTTCGGGCAGCTAGGGTGATCCGAACGGTGCGATAAACAGCAATAATAATGTTGTTCACGCGGTGGCGCTCGATTCAATACCGCTTTTGTTAAAATGTCAAATATTCTAATGGTTGGTTTTTTTTTTTTTTTTTCTCATTCTTCTGCCGCGGCAAGTCGGGTCGAAGATAACCACCGCCGATTTCCGTATGACGCCTCCGTACGCTATGAATACGCGTCCTGCAATCTCCCACTCCCAAATAAACGATTCTACCAACCGTCGTTGTCATTGTCAAAAAGGCCGATTATTGTTGTTGGTCGGAATGTGTGCGTGCGTGAATGTATTTATGTTGTTGTTTTTTTTTTTTTTTTTTTTTTGTGAACCGGTACGTACATACCGGTCTGCAGGACGCGTCCGTAATAACACGGTGCGTATGGGGACTACACAAGACCGTGAGGGGAGGAGGGAGACGTTTATCTAGCTGACGGAAGGGCGGGTGGGATCGCAGAGGAGAAAATATTAGTGACTCGTGTATTATACAGTACCTGTTCATGTCAGAACTATACAAACGGCAAAAGGACGAAAAACCGTTACACAGGATTTAAATTCTATACACCAGACACCATCGCAATATTATACACTATACCTGCTCCGTATTAGTTTTCGATTTATTGTGGATTTTTTTTTCTTTTTTTATTCAAAGAGATGACCGACAATAGTTTACTCGTGGACATTTTAATACGCACAGCAGTCCCAGTGCCGCACACGGCAGGAAAGCTAAGAGATCAAAATCACCCCCTGCACCCCTCCCCGTAACAGTCACTGTTATAGGCAATCTAATGTATATCTGTAAGCAACGATTAATCATTGCTAACGAAAAAAACGGTTCTGATCGGAATTTTTTTGATAGTGTTGCTTTGTCAACAATATTATTGTCATAAAATGGTAAAATTGCGTTTGCAATATGCTATATATAGTTTCTTTAATATTATTTGTTCAATATTGTACCTATTTTCCCGTTTTTCCCAATTATTGGGAAAATCAAAAAATGACCTCGCTAAAGTGCCTCCCCAGTCCAATTTCCTTTAAGAAAAAACGCTGGCATTGTAAATCGGATCAAAAAGGCCGTAATATATTTTTACTAATATCTATTTCGTACATTTTCCCGGTTTTTCTGGTTTTTCCCATTTTTTGAGAAAACTCTTAGGAAAATCAAATAAATGACCTCATTAAATTACCTTCCTAGTCAAATTTACTTCCAGAAAAATTGCTATCATTCAATCATTGTAAATCGGACAAAATTGTTAGTAGAAAAGTTGTCCACAGAAAAATAAAGACCGTAATATTTTACTAATGTATTACTTACATTTCCCGTTTTTTTTTCACCAGTTTTTCCTACTTGATAAATTTATAATATTATATATCATGCATAATATTTTACATATAATTTATATATGACGTGTATAAAAAAATAATTATAACTCAATATATTTTTATTTCAAACCAAGTCATAGTATTTTTAATGAAATCTTTGTTTTCCACATCCTCTGTTCGTTTATTTGTTAAATTTAAACTTTGCATTTTAATATAAATATCAGTTTGAACATTTTTGACACGGACATGAATAATATTAATTTCCAACAATAAATTGTAAGATGATAAATATCAATCTATAATATGATATTAATAATCGACAGATAAATATTAACGAGTTTAACATTCATTAAATATATATAGAGATATAATAACGATTATTCTTCCCGACGCAACTCGATTGTCACGACGTATATTTCGTTTTTAGAGACGCAATTCGTATGCAGCCATAATAGTGTTATACTATCACTATTATTAGTGGTGTATTGGTAAATTAATTTTTGGGTTTACGCACTTTTGAAATGATATTTTATGACAAAAAAATGTTCTCGCTAAACATGAAATATTAGATATATTTACACTGCATTCCAAAATATATACTTTTTCATCATTTTTGGTCCTTAGAAAGGAATCTATTGGTTTTACTATTATGTGTGTTTTTTATATATTTTGTTTGCGAACAACTTTTCCACCAATTTTTTTCTAGTCCGTGTAATAAACTAAATAGTTATGTTTAACTTAAATTTGTATTTAACTTGAATAGTTGGTGTTGGGGTCATTTTTTAATTTTCTAAGGGGTTTTCATTATAATCGCGAAAACCCGAAAGAAAATTACAGTTACTTAAAACGGTAAATATTTACGGGGCGCCGCGATGTTACCGATTTCATTGTTTTAAATTTGTATACATTTATTTTTTAATGTTATGCTCACACAGCATAATATTATAACTGCATAATTATTTATTATTTATATCATTACAAAAATGTAACTAAAAGATTCAAATATGGCCGAGTACTTGGTATTTTACAAAAGGTAAATAATTTAATAAATATAACGGATCGTTCGCTATTCGAGAGAGGGATACAAGCTTATCTACAAGCAAAATAATTTATTATGTGTCAAATATAATAGAACTCCATGCCATCTGCTGCGGCCCTTTGAGGACACTGCCGCCTCAGTCATACTATTGTACATTATCTTATTCTCACAATTCTATTATTAATTGTTTATATCGACATCGACACGAATGCCATCTGTTCCGTCTTTTTAAGCACAAATATTTCAATGGTTTTCTATCATTCGAGAAAAATCAACATCCAATCAATTATCATCATTTAGAACATTCAAATATAAGTGAAATAAAATTAAGCAATAAATATACAACATCAATCGGCCCTTTGATGATACCGCCGTGTCGTCATCGTTCTCTCACACTATATACCATTATAATTATTTCTATACAAATTTCAAACCAACACATAACACAATTTTTTTTTTATGGTTGACTTTTTTTTGGCTTATTTAAACATATAAAATTAGAATTACAGATAAATCATTCTTTGTAGTACCAAAAACTAGATCAATTATTTTACATTATATAGGTACATTTTTATACCTACTCCTCTATATTTCATTCTTTGTAGGTACTTCTACGTATTATCGTATCATTTTAAATATTTTTGTCTTCTATCACTATACTTCGTGTCTTAGTCTATTACTATCTCACCCTACCACAACTTTATATTTTTCCCCCCACCCCTTTTTTATTTTTCCTATATTTTGTATTACTACAATTGTATTTTATTTTATTTCATATACAAATGAGTACTAGGCACCATTGAAAAGACTTGTGTGGGGGCTAAGGAGTTCTAATATCTAATTCCATATAAAATAACACGTACATGATACAAATTAAAACTCCAAAAAATAATTAGATATATAATAAACTAAATAAACTAATACTAATTACTAACACCGCCGTTTTGATTTGTATTAAATGTAGTATAGCATAAAGAATAGTTTGGTAATTGATAGACGTCGAAATTTATGCTATCCCTACCTAACCATGCTTCAACTAATACAATTATATCCAATTGTATAGATGTGTTATCTAATAATGTACACAATTCATCAAAGTGTTTTTGAATACTACAAATATCGATTGCCATTAAATCACATCCATTATCACTGTGGATAATTGGTTTTATATTTTCGATGTTACTTATGTTCGATTTTATATCATTTATGTTTGGTAAGATTAAATTTTCCCATCATAGCAGTAATTTCGATAATAATAATGTATTGGGAAGTATTATATTATTATATATTACACGGTCGAACCATAATAATATTAGTAAAAACAAGTCGCACCTGATAAGGATTCTTATTAACAAATTAAATGCAAATGCATGAAATAAATTATTATTATGATTATAAGATAAGTATAAAATGCTATATGCGATATAACAGGAATACAATATTAGATTGATTGTAATTTGTGGAAATATTGATGAATCTTAAATAATAAAAATAATTGGAGTACCACATAACATAAATAAATGAGAGTATAAATTGTAAATCTAATAAATAATAATAGTGAAAGTTATACAATTTCGCTGATAAGTTTAAAATTATATACGGGATTTATGTTTGTATAACGTAAGGTTATATCGAGATAAATTATGTATAATAAACAAAAGCGAGAATAGAATAAATACTAAACTTACATAGTAGTCAAGTAACATGCGTGCAATGTCATTGAGAGATTTTATTTTAGCTATTTCAGAGTTTTCATCTATTCTTATTATGATATCCGCATTTTAAATCCATATGAATTTGTAATTTTGTTCTTTACAGTAGCCCTTACTTTCGAGTACAGAATTTGTTTATCTTTAGTCAATCGTTCGTTGATGTAGATCTTATTTCTGTTTTCCAATTTCTCGGTAACATATTTGCATTTAATGTTTGTGTTTTTGTGGCTCTTATTATATTTTTTCTCATTTCAAAGGTTTCTAATTTAGCGATTATTATTGGCGGCTTATTCCCAGTTAAATATATTCTTGAGGCTTCTATAACATTTAGCTTTTCAGAGATTTCTTTCACTGCAGTAATACAGTTTTCGTTGTCTGTTTTTGATACGCCCGTTTTTCTCTATACACTAAACTAATATGGGTATTTTACCCATGTTAGTTTATTCCATTGTATTAAGGTTTTGTTTTATTTAAAATATTTCATTTGTTATCGTAGTGTTTTCTCATTTATTTGAACATTTTCTGTCTTTAAATGATTTATTTTCTCTAAAGCCGCATCTAATTTTTTATTAAATTCATCAAATTGAAAACTCATAAAAATTCGTTTGCAATTTCTTTATTCAATTTTGATTCAGGATCTAGACAAGGCTGACAAGTAAATCTTTTTTTTTTAATTTTTAGACATTTTTTTAAAACTGGTTTAAATAATTCCAACGCAGAAATGTGAAATTTGTTTTTGCAGTTACAACATTCTCAGGTGTCTTCATAA